TTGGTATTTCAGGGGCCGTGCCCCTAGGAGCCCAGATGAAGACCTGGAAGGTGTGGATGAAAAGTTCTTCCAACTGATTGAGCAGCTTAATTCACAGAAGTATGTTCCTGGGTCAACATGGCAACGTGGGGATGGGGTGAGGATAAAAAACTGGAGGTGGATGGATAAATGTAGAGCCATTGGTGGAGGAGGCAGAAGAATGCTGAAATCAGGAAACCAGATGCAGGAGAAAAAAACACTCCTGGAATCTGAATACCTCCACAGAAGAGGGCATTTCATGGGTGCAGTTTGTCTGACCATTATGTGCCCCGAGAGAGAGAGAAGTGGCTTCTGCTCAAAGTCTCTCTTCCCTGTCACTTTCAGACACAAAAGAGGAGAAGAATAGAAGAAGGGGAGGGTGCCTTTTCATCTTTCAAAGTTAATTGAACTGGTAACTCATTCTCACACCATGATCGGCTGTTTGAGGCGTCTAAACCATCTACTATGACGTGCTACTGAAGCATTTCTGCAGTAGCGTTCATTTATCGAGCAGCTGTTTTTCTTCTGTTGGTTAGAAAGCCAGGAAGGCATTTGTTCTCAAAGTGGAGAAGGCAGCCGTTCATGAAAAGCAAAGCAAACCACCAGACCGTTTATGCCGAGAAATTCTTTGGGGTGTCAACAAAAGTGTCTAAGGGTCGATGTGTTAAGCATTGCAACAAAGATAGAATCTTGTAGCACCGTAAAGAGTAGAACACTTTGTTTGGTGTAGGCTTCCGTGTAGCACCTGGTGGGATGGGATGCATTCGTAGAATCATAGAAAAATGGAGTTGGAAGGGGCCTAATAAGGCCATCGAGTCCAACCTCCTGCTCAATGAAGAAATCCAAGTCAAAGCAGATGTGACAGATGGCTGTCCAATTTTCTCTTGAAGGCCTCCAGCGTTGGCATGCTCCCTGGGAAGCTGATGTCCCATAAGACTTGATATAACTTCAAGAAAATGCTAAACTTCTTTATTGTCTTTCACCTTGAGCAAAGTCACCCTGAAACAGGAGTGGACAACTCTAATCCTCCAGATGTTGTTGGGCTAAAGACACCCAACAGCCATAGAGAGTCTAGCCAAAAGCAAGTTGTGGACCAACAACCTCTGGAGGGGCCCAGTTGCCAAACCCTGCACTGAATACCCAAAATAGGTGCCTTCAAAATGTTTTTTTTTTTAAGAAATAAAGATGGGTACTTCTGAAATTATCTAATTTTAATAACGAGCAGGATTTGATCTTAGTCAAAGATGGGCATGAACTGTCGGTTTGGCGGTTTGCTGGCTTTTTTATTGGCCAAAGAGGTGTTCAGTGTTTTAAAAAAACCTGCCTCCCCTAGCAGGCGCCCACTCAGCAGCAGCAGCCTGGGGGAGGCAGGGCAGGGAAGCCAGGCTGCTGCCCCTGAGTGGGTGCCTGCTGGAGGAGGCGGGGCTTTGGAGCACCAAACCCTAGTTTGGCTTATAAACCAATCAGCACGAAGCACTGAACCAGCAGTAAATGCCCATCACTGATTCTTAATAAAGAGAGAGGGAAAGAAAGAGGAAAAGCACAGGGAAGCTAGGAGAGAGGAACCTGAAAAAAATGAAACAGGGGCCATTTTTGGTGCTCAGTTGCCTGTGAGTTTATGGAGGATGAGGGATAGCAAGACTTAAATTTCAAGGAGAGGGAGAAGACGAAGAGCAAGTGGAAGCTTAGCCCATGGTCAAATTCCTCCTATTTGTTATCTTTTTTTGGCACAGACAATGGAAGAAGTCAGAAGATCTGAACCGCATCACCCTGTACTTCAAAGAGCAGTCCCTTGAGAAAGAGGTAGCCTGTGTGGGAGGGTGGGGTGGTCCTTTTGCTCCCGTCTACAATTTCGGAAAGCCATTGATTGGGCTAGCTTTACCATAACGATATGTGTAAATATATCATGGTGTGTCCGTACACACACCAATGTACGGACGGGAGTCCAGTTTGTTTCTCCCTACTTTAAGCCTTCAAGGCATCTGGGGATGAAGAGAATGCACCCCTACGCCCTTTAAAATGGAGGAAGATAAGATGGAAGAAATGGATTGGGAGAAGGTACATGATGGTTGAACTTGCCCTGGTGTTCGTGGCCACTTACTTCCTCTGTTTTGCACTTTCCTCCTCCAGTACCGGCTCTCGGCACTGCCGTCTTTCAACTACTACACTGCCTGCACCTTTTTGGTGTTCACCTCCAACTTTGTCATCCAGATCCTTGTGGTCAACAAGTAAGGATGTGTGTGTGTCTGTCTATGTGTATGTGTGTGAAATGTTGAGCCAGGCATGACTGGCTCAAAGCATGGGAAGATTACACCCCCCCATGCCCCAGCAGAGTTAGGAACATTAAAGCCAAACTTACTCAGATGGGACGTGGGTGGCGCTGTAGGTTGAACCACAGAAGCCTCTGTGCTGCAAGGTCGGAAGACCAGCCGTCATAAGATCGAATCCACACGACAGAGTGAGCTCCCATCGCTTGTCCCAGCTCCTGCCAACCTAGCCATTCGAAAGCATGTAAAAATGCGAGTAGATAAACACCATCATGGTGGGAAGGTCACGGCGTTCCGTGCCTAGTGGCGCTGGCCATGTGACCACGGAAGCTGTCTACGGACAAACGCTGGCTCTACGGCTTGGAGACGGGGATGAGCACCGCGCCCTAGAGTTGGACACGACTGGACTAAATGTCAAGGGGAACCTTTACTTTACTCTTACTGCATAGTGGAACCACATTTTGGGAGGGAGGGGCCTGGAAGCTTAAAATCTTATGCGGGCCCCTTGTCAACCAGCAAAGTAGTCTGGGTAACCATTGTTATCTTCCACAACAGATGACAGCAGTTTTAAAAATGTGAACTAAAGTTGCTTCTGAGGCCTCTCCAGGCTGCTGCCCCTGAGCGGGCATAAGTTTCGTAGCAGATCCACCCCAGCTCTTACTGTGTAGGATGTAGTCACATCCCCCCCTTTCCCACAATTTTTTCAATCCCACATGGATATGGGGGGTCGTACTGCAGTTCCTTGTTTAGAAACTTCATGGACTCATTAAATTCATGAAATGCAAATATACCAGTAAAAAGAGCGACAAAAATGTGGTGCACAACACAGGTGGGATCATGGCCTGGTACCAGGGACGACCCCAGTTGGGATTCTGCGGAGGTGGCCAGGAAGGCTTAGCAGATCACATTCATTGTGTACTTCCTATTTGCAGGAATATGTGTTTTTTTTTTAAAAAAAAATTGCCACTACATGTAGATCCAGAGCCTCTTCTTCTTTTTTTCATCCAGGACGGAAGCTTTAGCCATATCCTATGGAATTTCCTTCTTCCTTTTCCTCCTTCTCCTCCTCGCCTGTTTTGCAAGCCATTTAGCAGTAAGTGGTCATTTGTGTTCATTATTTGATTTTTGGAACGGCCTTCCATTGCCATCCCATTGTGAGGTTCCATGGCTGAGAGTAGATTTGAACCCAGTTTTCCGAGTTCTGATCTAACAAACTACTCACTATACTGTTGGGGATTTTGCAACCTTGCATGCTGCCTTTAGTAATTTTTGGCCGGGAGGGACCTTTCTGGGCTTGGGTGACTGTCAATCTATCCAGCACTAGCCAATCACTAGCCTCTGAATTCAAAGTGAGCAACGCCTCTCTGTTCTGCTCTTTCCCTCTCCTTCGTCTGTTGAAAGTCAGCCAGGTTTTGTCAGTTTGGTTTTTCTGATCTGTTGATTTGTAAGTAATTAAACCTTTTATTCTTTCTCTTACTAATGTCGTCAGATTAAGTTACTGAGACTGTAAGTGCCAGTTAGTGAGAAAAAAAGAGAGTGAGCTACTTTGAGGAAGTTGAAGCCATACTGCTCTGTGAATCCCTACATTTCTGTTGCTTAGCCAGAGTAATTTAACCAAAATTCAAAGCTTTGCAATATATACCAGCCTGGTTCTCATTTCTATGATTCTAATTTCCTTCACTCAGACAGAATCCTGATCAGCATGTCTTTCTTCACCGTTCCTTAGAAATTGTCCTACGCAGACAATCTTTGATCACTGAAGGCCAGTCTTCTCTTCTGGCATTGGTGAAGACAATCAAAACTTTGTAGATTTGTTACTACTTGATCAGTTAGTCCCATTTCATGCCAGTGGGAGACAGCCAATCAAAATCTAGATTTGCTGACTGGCAGCTTTGTTGGTGGTGAGATATTACACATCTTGGAATCGAGTTGGATTCAATGATCCTTTAGAGTCCCTTCCAACAGTGTATGTAGTTCTAAGATGATGATGATCTTGGGATGCTGATCCTTAGGTTTTCTAGGAATCCTTCAGAATGGATACAGTTCAGCATCGAATAAGCTAATTGCTGAGGCACCTTTGGATTTGGAAGGTGGGCACATTTAACTTTGACCTTGTGATGTGAACTCAGTGCCCTTAAAAGGGATGATAGGCTATGGGGTTTATGGGGATTGTAGTCCAAAACAGGATATTTCCAGACTTCTAGTTGTTCTCTGGGATCCCAACTGAGTTCTTGGTAGGTTAATGGTAGCGATGATGATGGGGGTCATTACTCCTCTTGCATCTTTTGTATTTCTTCTTTTGTGACAGAAATGTTTTCTGAAAGGCCCAAAGTCACTCTACTGGATTCCCTCCATCTCGGCAAGTATCTGCACTCAACCGTGGCTTCGGGTCTCGTTGGGTATCGTCACTATCCTCGTGGTCCTCACCATGGCTGTGCTGAATTTGGTATGTTACTGTGAGAGCGACAGAGGGTAAGAAGCAGAAAAGAATTGGGGAGGGATGAGCATACGGGCAGACATTGCCAGTATTTATCTAGGATTGCAGAATTCTGTCAGGAAAAAAAAGATTGTATCCTGGCAAGGTGAACGATAACAGGTAGGCAGGATTTTTGTGTTAATAGCTAAGAAAGAGAAGAGGAGAAAGAGGGAAGGGATCATTACTCCGTTTAAAACCGTCTTAGTTTGATTAATTGGTGAACCGTAAGACATTCAGCTATGACCTTCGCTAAAACTACAGTTCTGAAGCAAGGATGATATTTAGAGACGGGATTTTCTGATTTCTTGTAAAACAAGTCCCATGGTTTGTCATTCTGGGAGTTCAACCTGAGAGAAAGATACCTGACAGACACATAAAGTGTTCCAACGGAAGGCTGTGAGTTGGAGCTTGGCCTAGTTCTACCTAATGTTCCTGTTCCTCCCCCATTGACCTTTCTTTCTCAACAGGAAGCCAGGAAGAACTAGGCCTAGTTAAGCCTCATAGTCTTCCAGTTGAGGCCTTTCTCTCAGGTAAGCCATATTTATTTAAGTGTCTGTCAGTCAGGTAGAACAGCAGAATGGAGAATCGTGGGATTTGTAGCCCAGGAAATTCAAAAATCCCGTCTTAATGGTATTGCCTTTGTTTAGTAGATGATACCTGTGTCGTGCCAGGCATCATATTAGAAGAAGCTTTCCTTAAAAACACACACAAACACACATACAGAGTGAGTGAGTGAGTGAGTGAGAGAGAGAGAGAGAGAGAGAAGAGAGAGAGAGGAGAAATGACACTTTTAAGATAGTGAAAGAGAGAGAGAGAGAGAGAGAGGAAATGACTCTTTTAAGATAGCGTTTTGCTTCGGCAGTCTTTGAAAGAAATGCAATGAAAGCAATAGGTTCGTTTATCATCCGAACAGTGTTTGGAGATTCCCAGCCCTGCCCCCTCTGGCAGCCACCCACTCAGAGCCAGCGCCTGGAGGAGGCAAGGCAGGGAAGCCAAGACACAGCCTCTGAGTGGACGCTCACTGGAGTCAGCGGGGCTGGGAAGCACAGAATGCTTGTTTGGCAAATAAACGAATCAGCACGAACTGCGGAACCGCCGGTTCGTGCCCATCTCTAGGCAGGATCCAGACTGAACCGAAGGCCTGTTGAAATTAATGGAGTTTAAATCTCATGGATTTAAGCTGGACCACACCTCCCTTCTGCCTTCTACTCGTCCCAAGGTAACTCGGGGTGATGTATTATGCCTTCTGCCATTCTTTCTAATTGATTGTATTTTTTTCTCCCCACCATTGCTCATTAGTTCTTTATGCCAGAGAACTTGTGCTTTTTGAAAGCTCAGAATCCCACCGCGGTGAGCACGAACATCACACGAGAGTTTGTTCGCTTGGGCTCTCTCTTTAGTGTGCCAGTAAGTATGTACCCTTCTGGGCACCATCAATGGACAATTTGCCAGTGATCACTGAATGACTTTATTTAATAGCCTGCTCTTTCCTTCCTTCCTCCAGTATTACATCTACTGTTGTATCTTGGGATTCCTGTCATGCTCTCTCTTCCTACACATGAACTTTGAGCTCAAACTCACCATGTTGACTCTCTGCCTCGCCATCTACAATGCCATGTTCCTTCGGACCCACTCGTGGCTCTCTGACTGCTATGTCTCCTACCTCTACCCTAACCAGACCGCTCTCAGGTAAGGAGTCCTCAAGGAGCTGAGAACCTGCTTCCAATGAATAGGCAGAACCTCAGGGGCAGCTGTCCATGATCTTCTGGATCTCCAAAAAAGAACACGGGATGGATCACTAACTTTACAAGTCTACATCATCACCACAATGCATGCAGAATGCATGCAGAAACTGTGGAACTCACTGCCACAAGATGTTAGTTCTGCCACATGCCTGAGGAAATTGCTCCCTGTGTGTCTGTTTGATCTCGAGGTTTATGGAGGATGATCTGAGAATGATCTTCTTCTCTCTTTAATCCCTTATTTGAAGGCCTGGGGTACTGAAGGAACCCAAGATGATGGGAGCCTTCTCATTCTTTGTCTTCTTCTTCACACTCCTGGCCCTGGCCAGGCAGGTGAGTCAGTTTCCACTTCCAGCAGCAGGACGGCTTACAAAGCAGCCCTGAACAATGCGAGCTTCTGCTTTAGGCAGAGCTCACTTCTCTATTTCACTTTCCGTCAAACTTTCTCCCTTGTGGGAGGTCTCCTTCTTGACTTGTCAGCTAAGGATGAGCTCTGTTGACGGTCACAGCATGTGGTGAATATGAGGTGGCCAGCATGGAGAGCTTTAAATGGGGATTAGATAAATTTGTGGAAGCTGTTTGTTTGTTTGTTTGTTTGTTTGTTTGTTTGTTTGTTGGTTGGTTGGTTGGTTGGTTGGTTGGTTGGTTGGTTTGAGCTGAGCTGAGCTGAGCTGAGCTGAGCTGAGTTGAGCTGAGTTGAGTTGAGTTGAGTTGAGTTGAGTTGAGTTGAGTTGAGTTGAGTTAAGTTAAGTTGAGTTGATGGATTTGATTTGTGTACTGCTCCCAATTCAACCCCGAGTGCTCACTGGAAGGACAGATCCTGAAGCTGAGGCTCCAATACTTTAGCCATCTCATGAGAAGAGAACACTCCCTGGAAAAGACCCTGATGTTGGGAAAGTGTGAGGGCAAGAGGAGAAGGGGACGACAGAGGACGAGATGGTTGGACAGGGTCACCGAAACGACCAACATGCATTTGACCCAACTCCGGGAGGCAGTGGAAGACAGGAGGGCCTGGCATGCTCTGGTCCATGGGGTCACGAAGAGTCGGAGATGACTTAATGACTAAAGAACAACAACTGCTCCCATTATTGCCAAGGCACTAATCTGGGCAGTTTAAAATAAAAACAGCACAGTGCAAAAATAAAATCAAGTACTAGGCTAGGGCCCTCAATAGATGGATGTATATATCTTGATGGATACATGTTTGGTTAAATACCTGAGACACTATGCTTCTATGCATGAGCCATCAGGGAGGATAAGCAGGAGAGGGTGACAGCACTCAGGTCATGCTGATAGATGAGAATGATGAGAATATTGGTTTGGATGGTCTTTGGCTGAGCTGTTTCATGTCCTTAAGCTGTCAGACCCACAAAAGGGCCTGCAAAAAACACCCTGCCCCTTATCTCCCGACCTTTGTCCACAGATAGGACGCACACATGTCTGTGTTGCTTTGAGACACGTTTGTTCCTTTTGTGCCTATTGAGTCAGCTCTCCCTGAACTGTTTTCTGGTTCTCCAGCCCTCCTTTTCTGAGGTGTGCGTGCATGCATGCAAATCTTAGGGTTAGCTTCAAGGATGCTTGGGGTCTGCAGCCGCAACAAAGCTGCTGATGGGTGTTGGATATTTGTTGGCCGAGCGTGCACCACCGGAACTGCCGTTTCCTGCATTTCTAGACCATTTCACCACACGGTGTCTCCTTCCTTTTTTTGACTGCCGTATGAATCATCACAATCCAGATGCACACCAACCTATGTAGGGCACACAAAATGAATTTTTAAATGGTGTCGAGGCAAAGGCTAAAAGATTAAGGGGAACCAGCTTTCTCTTTTTTCACATTGAGGTTAAGTCTCTCCTTGTAGAGCCAGAAAGTTTGATTCCTCACAGGGCATTTCAGAAGAGCCAGCGGCCAGAGAGTTTGATTCCTCACAGGGCATTTCAGAAGAGGTTGCGTGGCCTCGGGCAAGCTGCAGAGTCCCAAAGCACCATCAGAAGAAGGGAAGTGTAAATCACTTCTGAGTTCTCCTAGAAAACTCCAAAAGGATCACCATAAGTCAGAACTGACTTGAAAAGACATTTATTATTATCAGGTTTCACTCTACAGTGGTGCCTCACTTTACGATTGCCCCGTTTAACAACAAAACTGCATTACGATGAACTTTTTTCAATTATTTTTGCGATTGCAAAACGATGTTTCCTATGGGGGAATTTCGCTTTGCGATGATTGGTTCCCTGCTTCGGGAACCGATTCTTTGCAAAACGAGGATTTTCCAACAGCTGATCAGCGGTTTCAAAATGGCCACCGGGTAAACAAAATGCCCCCTCGCTGTTTTCTGGGATGGATTCCTTGCTGCACAGGCAGTGAAAATGGCTGCCCTGTGGAGGATCTTTGCTGGACAGTGAGTTTACAGCTCTTTGGAACGCATTAAATAGGGTTTAATGCATTTCAATGGGTTTTTTCTTTTTGCATTACGACATTTTTGTTCTACAGTGATTTCGCTGGAACGAATTGACATTGGAATGCAAGGCACCACTGTACTGTTGTTTTAAAGATGAACTCAAGTTGAAAAGGCTTCCACCCCACTTAGACCTGGGAAAGCATTTGCAAGACAGATCGGACGGATATAATTTAACTCTCTGTTGCCCTGCATGTCAGTTGACGACTGAGGAGGCCCACTCTTCAACCATGGTGTGGATTACATGGACAATGAGAGCTTCCTCCTCCACTTTATCTGTTGAAGTCAGGTAGTCTGCTGAGACCTGTTGCTCAAAACAGTCATGTTTGTTAGTTTTGCTGTTAGCTGTTCACTAGAAGTAAATGAAACTTTGAATTCTTTCTTCTGAGTGATGGATTGAGATGGTGAGTGCCAGCAGATAAGAAAGAGGGTGGTCTATCCAGGTGATTTTGAAGCTATTCTGCTCCATGAGTCCCTGTACTTCTGCTGTGCAGCGAGGTGAATTTAACCCAAATTCAAACCTCTGCAACAGCATGCGCCGTCTTTATGGGAGATGCCACATCTCGGAGCTACGCATGATTTGAAGAGTTGCTCTTCTAGATCCAATGGTGGTGTTGGTTGGGAGATCTTCATTACCAAAGATGAATTCCCTTTCCCAGCCAGTATGGTCAACAATGAAAATTAACTGCATTTCACTTGCCGTGATCTCTTTTTTAAAAAATGGTGACAGATACACACACACAAAAGAAAACCACACACAAAGCACTAAGTTGATCATCATATCTTGACTAGATCTTAGATCTCTATCAGTAGGCCGTGGCCCATTTTTGTTTTTCTGAAAACTTTGCCTACCTACTTGGTAAATACAGAGATAAAAGAAAGAAGAGCTGTTCCTGCCCTCTCCCCCCCCCCCATTACATAGAGACAGAACTGAAGGTCTCCTGTCCAGGAGATGGGAAACAGAGAAATGAGAGCCATTCCTGCTTCCTCACAAATGCTAATACAATGGTGAAGAACCCAGACTGGACTTGGATTGAATCGGAGGCAAGGGGGGTTGTAGTCACCCATCCAGCACCCTGGGTCCCAATCCAGATCAGGCCCACATGCCTTCAGTCTATGTCATTGGTTCTCAGATTTCGGTCCCAGAGATCTTCTTGATCTGTGTTACATGTGGGCTCTAGTTTATAGCACCTCATTTGAAAACTTTGTTGTTGTTTAGTCACTAAGTCGTGTCCAACTCTTCATGACCCCATGGACCAGAGCACACCAGGCTCTCCTGTCTTCCACGGCCTCCCAGAGTTGGGTCAAATTCATGTGGGTCGCTTCAATAACACTGTCCAACCATCTCATCCTCTGTCGTCCCCTTCTCCTCTTTCCTTAACACTTTCCCAACCTCAGTGTCTTTTCCAAGGAGTCTTCTCTTCTCATGAGGTGGCCAAAGTATTGGAGCCTCTGCTTCAGGATCCATCCTTCCACATTTGTAAATTACAACAACCCAAACAGATCACTGCCTGTCCTAAGGCAGTGGTTCCTCACCTTGGGGTCCAAGGTGTTCTTGGACTACAACTCCCAGAAATCCTGGCCAGCACAGCTAGTGGTGAAGGCTTCTGGGAGTTTTAGTCTAAGAGCATTAAGGGGCCCAAGGTTGGGAACCACTGGTGTATGTGATAATCCACACTATCATCTAATTTCACTCTACGATTCTGCATAGATTTGTCACACATTGCTCTTGAAGAACTGGATGCTGGGCTTGAGCTGCACGGTCAGATGGCAAGAAAAGCACCCATCTGCTCACACTGGAAAGGGTCACTTTAATGGGAGCAATCTCCCTTAAAATAATCCTTCTGTTTCTTGGGAAATCATTCTAGCCTGGCTCCAATAATTTGTAGCTCTACTTCTGGACTAAAAAACTACAGCTTGGGAATGGACTGGCGTTGGGCTGGTGCACTACTAACCATCATCATGTGATCACCAGGACATTGCTTGCACCGGACTGTGTCAGAAGTGGTCCAAAATGCGAGCTATATGGTCATAGAGTCACACACTTAGGTTTCTGATTCCTTCCAACGTTTTGGGGTTTTGTGATTCCAGCTATGCTTATTATTGTTGTAAACCATCCAGTGTCCTTTGGTTAAATGGGTGGTACATTAAATGGATGAACAAACGAACGAACGAACGAACGAACGAACGAACGAACAAACAAACAAACAAACAAACAAACAAACAAACAAACGAATGAATGAATGAATGAATGAACAGATGAATGGATGGATAGATCAGTATTATCTGTTAAATGGTGACGTAGGCAAGATTATAGCCCACAGATGCCCCTAAAACATCCAGCAAAGGCCTCCAGACCCCTTCAGTCCTCCTCCCTGCTGCTATATTTTCCCCCTCATATGAATAAAGAAAACTGGCGTTGGAGTCAGAGGTTGGGAGTTCGATTCCCTACAGAGTCTCCTGGAAGAAGAGCCAGCCTGAAGTTGGAGTGGCACCCTGTTGTTGTTAAAAATTATTTGTAAGGTTCCCCAAAGCTGCTAAGGGTGTGTTCACCCACTGAGAGCCTACTATGGCCTTGGGGTTGTTTTAGACCTGTAAATAGTCTCCCTCTTCAACACTCCTCCCAATCAAAGCTTACTGGAAGGCCATGCCTAGTCTGGTGTGGGAGGGAAAAGGCAGAATGCATCCCCTACCAAGATCGAGTTCCCACCCCACATTTACTGTTCTACAAGAGGGAAGGTCTCGGCTTGCAAGAATCCACAGGCTAATTTTCTGCCTCTCTGTGTTTCTCTCAGAATGAGTATTACTGCCGCCTGGACTTCTTGTGGAAAAAGAAGTTCAAGAAGGAACGGGAGGAGATTGAAACCATGGAAAACCTCAACCGTGTCTTGTTGGAAAACGTGCTGCCAGCTCACGTCGCTCAGACGTTTATGCGCCAGAACCGGCGCAATGAGGTGGGACTTGAAGTTGATTTATTACTAGTTTTATTAGTTTTAGATGACTTACTGAGCCATCAAGGTGGACAACTTTGTCTCCCTCCATGTTACTCAATAGAAGATCCACATCGCTTCGTATGAGTCGTATACATCCATATATCTTACACATTGTCCTATACTGACCTGAATTTCTTCATTTCTTTGTATATCTTTGTAACCCACCTTTCTTTAAGAGAGCATACGGTGACATACATAGTTCTCCTTCCACTTTTAATCTCAACACCATTCTGACAGGTAGTTGAGGCTGAGAGAGATTGTCTGCCCAAGGATACCAAACCAGCTTTGTTGCCTGGCAAGAGTTTTAAACCACAGGGCCTCCAATGATAGTCAAATGAGCAGAAATGGAAGTTACCTTTTTACACTTTATTTCCTAGAATACCATTTGGTTGAGCTCTTCTGGGAAGTGTAACTCAGAAAAAGGTACATTTTGCACCTTTTTCTGAGTCAATCATATCTTCTCCCCTTTACTTCCTTCTTCGGTCAAACAAATGAACAAGCAAATGTAATTTGTTGCTTTTAGCATACAGGCCATGACAAATTTCATAATTAAAACAACATATCTCAACACAATACGGTATAACAAACTGTGAATCAAATTTCTGATCCGATTAAAAACATTTAAAGATTTAAAATGTATCACAGATAAAATGCATTAAATGTAATTACATAAAATGCATTACAGATAAAATGCATTACAGATATATTACAGTAATACAAAATGCATTACAGATATTTTTTTAATGTAAATTACAGATTTACATAAAAAAACAATACAGTTGGTAGGGTTAACTATAAAGTAGCAATGTACACCCTTGTATTTTTTATCACCATGTATGGGCGTGAAAGCTGAACAGTGAAGAAAAGTGATAGGAAAAAAAAAAGGATTCATTTGACATGTGGTGCTAGAGGAGAGAGTTTTTTATCACCATGTATGGGCGTGAAAGCTGAACAGTGAAGAAAAGTGATAGGGAAAAAAAGGATTAATTTGACATGTGGTGCTGGAGGAGAGATTTGCAGATACTCTGGATGGCCAGAAAGATGAGCAAGTGGGTTCTAGACCAAATCAAGTCTAAATGATCTCTGGAGGCAAAAAAAGTTGAAACTGAGCCTGCCCTAGTTTGGGCACAATGTGAAAAGACAAGGTTCCCTTGAAAATAATGCTGGGAAATGCTGAAGGGAGCAGGAAAAGAGGAAGGACTAATTAAGTAAAATAAGATATAGATTTGAGTTTACAAGAGCTGAGCAGGGAAGCTGAGAACAGGACTAGACATGGGGACGAATTAAAAAATGAATGATAATATTTGTGAAATATCGCTGATTTGTGGGATGTTCGTCCCTTTGTATTTGTCAGGTCCGGAGACCCTGACAAATATGTAGGATCAAATACTTACTCATTTTTATTTGTCCCTTCATGCAGGCTGGCTGCAGAATGGAAACAAGGTTTCCCTTCATGTAGCCAGCCTGCTTATCAGTGTCCTGCTGATCAGTTGATTGGCAGGACATTGACAAGCAGCCTGGCTGTGGGCACAGAAACCTTTCCCTTCATGTAGCCAGCCTGCTTATCAATTCCTGCTGATCAGTTGATTGTCAGGACATTGACAAGCAGGCTGGCTGTGGACACAGAAACCAGTTCCATTCCCGCAGCCCAGCTTGCTTGTCAGTGTCTCGCCAATCAGCTGTTGGGTGTGACGTTGTGTTTTAACAATGAATCAACAAATATTCATGAGTTCCATTCCCGCAGCCCAGCTTGCTTGTCAGTGTCTCGCCAATCAGCTGTTCGGTGTGACATGTTTTAACAATGAACCAACAAATATTCATAGATTCATTGCTAAAATTTGGTGCTTTGCCCATTCGTCAACTTTGACGAATGACAAATCTTGATGAAGCACCAATTCTTCTAATTCATCCCCATCTCTAGGCGGGACATTTTGGAAATCATTCATTCATAGGGTTGCCATACATTGGAGGTAACTTGGCACATAAGTGATCCAGTGACAAAGGAGCCTTTCATTCATAGGGTTGCCATACGTTGGAGGTGACTTGCCACATAAGTGATCCAGTGACAAAAGGAGCTGGAGCAACAATAATCTGACCATCAGCTTGGTTAGTGGCTGAGAAGGTAGACTTTATTTTTATAGTTATGGAAACAGACCCTGTCTGTGAAATGTGAGAAATCCTGTACTGATCTGAAAGTAACACCCTAAATTTGTCATGGTAAGATCTTCCAGAGAATTGTTCCAATATAGATCTCTGTAGTTTTGCATGCTTGACTGCAAACAAGAGTCAGTGAAGTGTGATCTGTACGAAGTTCTCAACTCGTTTCGGATCACAGGAGGGAACTCTTTTATTATAGTACGGAATTCCTGTATACTGGCCTTCTAAAGAAGCAAGTGGTGACATCTTTAAATGTGCCTTTAGTGAGGGCTTTTCTGAGATCAAAGTTTATAATGTCAGTAAAATAAGACAGAAGGGTCAAAGCTGGAGGAGCAATAAACAACCTAAAGGGGTGCCGTTCTTGAGGTAACTAATATATCTATGTCTGTTTGAACACAGAAATGAACTAGTGATAAATGGTGATAAATTTCTGGTAAGTTAAAGGTTCCCCTTGACTTTTAGTCCAGTCGTGTCTGTCTCTAGGGCGTGGTGCTCATCTCTGTTTCTAAGCCATAGAGCCAGCGTTTGTCCGAAGATAGTTTCCGTGGTGACGTGGCCAGTGTGACTAGACACAGAATGCCATTACCTTCCCATCGTGGTGGAGCCTATTTATCGACTTGCTTTTTTACATGCTTCCGAACAGCTAGGTTGGCAGGAGCTGGAATAAGCGATGGGGGCTCAGTCCGTCGTGTGGATTTGATCTTATGACTGCTGGTCTTCTGACCCTGCAGCACAGAGGCTTCTGTGGTTTAACCCGCAGGGCCACCACATCCCTATGTCCCTAAATTTCTGAGGGGGCACCAATTCCCATCTTCTCCTCTAACCGCTAGGCCACACTGGTAGTCATTTTAGAGGAAGTTGGCTTCAAAGAAATATAAAGAACTCCTCATCCTGGCTTTTTGACACTGCAGAATGTGGACTCCTTGGTATGGGGTTTAAAGAGGTGTCACACAAAGCAGAGGTTTGACAATCCCTTTCCCTCCCTTTTTTTCCCCTGCCGGCAGGATCTCTACCACCAGTCCTGTGACTGTGTCTGCGTTCTGTTTGCATCCATCCCAGATTTCAAAGAGTTTTACTCGGAGTCCAACGTCAACCGTGAGGGGCTTGAGTGCCTTCGACTGCTCAATGAGATTATTGCTGACTTTGATGAGGTACTGATGATTCAAGCACTTTTTAAAAAGTTTTAATTCAAGTTACTTATTTATTTAATTAATTTTTAAATTACTATTATTACTATTACTATTACTACAGCGGTGCCTCGCATAACGAGCGCACCGTTTAACGATGAATTCGCATAGCGATCCATTTTTTGGGATCGCTTATGCGATCGCATACCGATGCTTTCTATGGCCGAAAATCGCTTTGCGACGATCGGTAAGCATTTCGCTTACCGATTTTCGCATAGCGATTTTTTTAAACAGCTGATTGGTGGTTCCAAAATGGCCGCCGGACACCCAAAATGGCCACGCACAGCGTTTTTGTGCCCTGCCCTCGCTTACCGAGGGTGCAAAAATGGCGGCCGGATGGGGAAACATCGCAGAACGGTGAGTTTTGGGCCCCATTG